GCCCACCGCTCGCTTCGCTGGCTATTACTCCGTCTTGGCGCGTCCGGGGCTCAGGATCATCTCGATCAACACGAATTATTGCTATAGGCTGAATTGGTGAGTGAGGGAGGGATACTGGAGTGTGAGAGTAATGGTGAGTGAGGGAGGAGACTGGAGTGGTGAGTGAGGGAGGGAGTACTGGAAGTGAGTGAGTAGTTGGTGAGTGAGGGAGGGAGACTGGAGTGTGAGTGAGTAATTGGTGAGTAGTGAGTGGAGGGAATGGAGTGTGAGTGAGTGAGTAATTGGTGAATTGTGAGTAAAGTGTGTTTGATTGGGAGTGTGGAGGGAGGGTAGGTAAGTGTGTCTAATGTGGTCTTGTTCATTGGTTAAGGTATGGGGATACGAGGGAGACACTTAACATAGGAGGTTTCTGCATTATTACTTTTAATTTAGGTGCCTATTGTCACTTTGTACAGGTAATTCCTTTATTACCACTCACACCGAATACAGGTGGTTCTGCGCTATTATCACCACCGAATATAGTTGGTTAATATACTGTTACCATCCTATTACTCTTTAGAGGCGGTCACTATACTACAACTCTTCCCTGAAAACAAGTGGTTGCTGTACTACAACTCTTTCCTAAAAATAGATGGTTGATATACTACAAACCTTCCCTAAAAACAGATGGTTGATATACTACAACTCTTCCCTAAAAACAGATGGTTGATATACTACAACTTCTCCCTAAAACAGGTGGTTGCTGTACAAGTCCGTCGACCCTGGCATGGTGCTCCGCTGGCTGGTGAGTGAGCTGCAGCAAGCCGAGTCGAGAGGAGAAGTGGTCCACATCATAGGCCACATCCCGCCCTTCTATTCGGATTGCTTCGCTCAGTGGGCGCACCAGTTCTCCAGGATTGTCTCCAGGTGAGGGAAAGGGGCGTCAGGGAAGGGTGTGTGATGTTTTTGTTGTCTTTTTTCTTTTGGGTGGGGTGATTTTAGAAGTGTGTGATGTTTTACGGGCCTGTGACTTGCCGCTGAATGCTGTTGAACTCTTTAGTCATGGGTTGCATGAAAAATAGACGAAACGAAGATACACTACTAATGCAGATAGGACTGTCTGCATATATTAAACAGAAAGCACACATCCAGAAACAGAGACAGGCGCACATGCATATAGTACAAACACAGTTGATTGCTGTACTACACACATAGGTACATAAACACACAAAGTACATAATGTTTGTAATTACGGCTAACTCTTAACCTGCCGGAACTGCACAAGGAATATAATAATGAAACAAAATCCCCTCTATCCACACAAGAAAAAACTCGACACGATTCGTAACACCCACATAAACATCCACAAGAAGTCATGCAAAAACAACTCGTAGCATCCACACCTCTCCGCCCGTCTACCCACACACAAAAAACATACGTAATAAAGAAACTCAACGCGTATCTTAGCATCCACGTGAACATCCACACGTAATAAAAAATCTCAACACGGTTCCTAACATCCACCTGTACATCCACGCCTCCAGGTACGCCCACATCATCCGTGGGCAGTTCTACGGGCACTCGCACCAGGACGAGTTCCGCGTGCACTACGACGTCAACGCCCCCAACAAGCCCATCGGCGTGCAGTACGTGTCCCCCAACAACGGGCCCTTCCACGACCTCAACCCCTCCTACAGGGTCTTCTACATCGACGGCGACCATCCGGAGACCACGAGGGTAAGCTGCATTTTTTTGAAGGGGGGGAGGAGAGGGGAAGGGTGTTGGTAAGAGAAGCGCGGGAGGAGACGGAGAAGGGAAGGAGGGAGGCTTGATGGAGGAGGAGAGGGGAGGGGAAGGGTGTTGGTGGGAGGGAGGAGACGGAGAGGGGAAGGATGTTGGTGGGAGGGAGGAGATGGAGAGGGGAAGGGTGTTGGTGACAGGGAGGAGATGGAGAGGGGAAGGGTGTTGGTGGAGGAGAGGAAGAGAGGAAGGGTCTTGGTGGGTGAGGAGAGGGAGAAGGGTAGTTGGCTTGATTTTTATTTTTGAGAGGCTAGAATTGGAAAGATTTTTTTAGGAGGAGGGGTGATTTGTGGCTTAGTTGATAGGTTTTTGAGTCCTTATTGGGATTTTTTTTTTTTTTTTTTTTTTTTTTTTTTTTTTTTTTTTTTTTTTTTTTTTTTACGAATGGAAACCTTATTCCTCGCATATTGACGCGAAACACCTTAATCCTCCCATCCCCTTTTGGCAGAACGTACTGGACTACGAGACCTGGGTGATGAACCTAACCCACGCCAACAAGTACGACGCTCCTCACTGGTACCAGCTGTACACCGCCCGTCGCGATCTCCAGCTGCCATCCCTCGACCCCCGGCACTGGGATCAGCTGGTTCAGCGCATGGCTCGGGACCCTCAGCTGTTCGCGCGGTATCACAGGTCAGGGTTGTTCTCTTTGGGATTTGGCGAAGGGTGGTGGAGTGTTGTTTGCACGTTTGGATACGTTGCACTTACAGTAAACCTTCAA